AATTGAAGAATGGATAAACAAACTGTGGTACATACACACAATGGAATACTATGCTACCTTGAAGAACAACAAGGAAGCTGTAAACTACCACATAACATGGATGACCCTGAGGACATTATGTTGAGTGAAAGTAGTCACAAAAGGAGAAATACTGCATAGGACCCCTATTGTAAAAGACTACACAGGGTAAGGAACAGACACAGGACAGTTTGGGTGCTGGGGAGGGAGGCAATACACAAGAAGGGGGAGTGGAATGGAAGAACAAGGCAGATGGGAGAACAGTTAGACAGGTTTGCATGCGCTAAGTGGGACAGAGGTAAATAATGATGTATGCACCACCTTGGAACAACAGGGCTCTGGGATACAGAGACTGAGGCATGGTTTGAATGGATAAAAGGGGGGAAATAATGTTAAGATGCTTGGATGTCTTTTGAATCTTGGTTTCCCTTGCACACCATTATAAAATAGACACTTGAAGGGAGAGATGGGAATAGCCAGAAACATCACCATCGAAAGCTTGTAAGTCTATCTTCTGCCTATAACTGATTAGAATACCTAAAATGGGGTTACAACACACCCAGTGAAGGAAGCTTCCTGTGGAACCCCTCTGCATTGCATAAGACCATAGGTGGAATCCTGAACCCCATCCACAATCTTCTAAGGTGGGAAATTTCCACTTGAAAGGACAAGCAGACCAGCCTGAAGTGGCTAGAAGAACAGAAAGACCGACAGGAAAGAAAGACCGACAAGAAAAACACAAAACAATAACGGCAGTCCGACCTACTACTATAAGAACAAGCAAGTTGTTTGTCCAGGAGACATCAAGTGGTCAGATCCCCTCAGGGTAAACCCCCTTCCAAGTCTAAGACTCAAAGGGAATACACAAGCATACATGCGCTGTGACTGGTGACCACATTGGTCACCAATAAGAGGAAGTGAGGGGAAAACAACAATGAAGCTGCGAGCTAAGTCCTACCTCGTTCAATAGACTCTTGTGAACCCAGGTGGAAACCTGATTGGCCAGTAGTATGGAAAGACCTGGGACTCCTGGGCCCAGAGTCAGTGACATAGCCACAGAGGACTAGGGTGGAGAATGAAGCATTCAGCTAATAAGAAGTGAGGACATATGCACAAGAACACCCAAACTTGGAGCTAATACCCACTTGACCTGGCCTCAATGACTGGATGATCAGAACTCAATTAGAAGAAGAAAGAAAAGGAAAAAAAGAGTAATCTGATATAAGTTGATGAACTTGACCTACACCTATGGATGCAGTAGCTCAAAAGAGGGAACAAGTCTTTACAGTGAGGATCATTCCCACCCCCTCAATACACAGGGTAGACAGGGATGGGCAACTTGGACACTGGCGGCTACCCAAAATGGGGGGCTACAAAGGCAAGCAGTGACTGGCTTATGAGCTTTCAAGAGGGAGCCTAGATCCAAAGGGCATGGAGGAAGGTAGAATCTCCACTGAGTTACATCCAATCTGTCTGGGAAGGGATGACGAAAGGAGATGGGGATAGGACTCTTGTGGTACGGTTGTGAATAATTGCTATCAGGACTGCCTGTGATTGTTGGAAATGTACAGGTAGATGTTTTGTAGCAAAATGAGGGGAATGGTTGACTTTGTAGTCTAGAAGCAGAGGTCCCTGGGATCATCAAGGGAAAAGAGTGGAGTGCGGGACCCTACCCAGAGAAACAGTGATGCCAGTGATGGAGGCAGAGACGATGACGTGGAGAGATGGAGTAGCTGGGGACTCTAGACCCAGAAAGGGAGAGGGTCTGTGTGCTGATGACAGAGGGGCAGGCTTGCGGGGTATAACCTTTGGTTGTTTGATGATGCATGGAGGGGACTGTAACCATGGCAATGAAATGATATATGATAGGATGTATATAAAGCTAATATTCTCCCATATAAACTATCACATAATTCACAATAAAAACATTAAAAAAAAAAAAAAAGGATCAGTTATTGTCTCCCAACACCCAACAACAAACAAGGCTTAAGCATGCTCTCTGCACCCAAATACTCTGTGCACACCACCCCTGGCTCCTAGCACACATTACTATGATCTGTTTGTATCTTTCACCTCTCACTAACCCAGAGTCGGGAGCGAGGGTCAGCCCAAGGACAGGGACTGTTATGATCACTGTTGCCTCCCAATGTCCCATCCAGCATCTGGTCCAGAGAGGTGTTGACCAAATGACTAACTCCTGGGCAGGTCCATTCCCCCAGCTCGGCCTGAACTTGGGGACAGGCTGGCTCTCCTGGGGCCAATCTCCACAACCCTATCAGCACTCACACTGGCCTGATACTTGGTCATCACTGTCAGCATGAGTTTAGCATAGGCCATGGAATTGGTGGCTGCCGGTCCCTCTTCACAGAGCTTCTCCATCAGGACACTGAACTTCTCAGAACTCAGCTCCACCTGTACACATTGGGGAGATGGAGAAGCATCACAAGGAAGGCCTGGGCTCTTCATTCAACCTGCCCTAAGTTCAATCCCCAACTCCACCACTTCCTAGCTGGGAAGACCACTTAGCCCAGCTGAGACTCAGCTTGAGGACTGCGAAAAGGAATACATGAGATCTTGCACATAAAGCCTGGCACAGGTGCTGTTGTTAAGCACCGCTGAATCGCTTCCAACTCATAGCGACCCTGTATGGGATTTCTGAGGATCAGCTGGTGAGTTTGAACCACCAACCTTGCAGTCCAAATCAACCTTGTGGTCCACTGCTTATCCTACAGCGCCACAGAAAATAGTGACTATGTTGCAAGGGTGCAGATTAGGCCAAGGATCCTTAGCCTGGTTAAAGAGGGAAAGGAGTGAGGGGTCCCAAGGGACCCACGGCCAGCATAATACAATACCTCTTCAAAGGAAGAGCTAACATTTAATAACCACTCTGCATCAGGAGTCCTGGTGTGCGCTGCAGGACCAGCACTGGACTGCCAACACAAGGTCAGCAGTTCAAACCCACCAGCCGCTCCTCAGAAACCCTATCCAGGGTTGCTACATGACGGAACCGACTTGATGGCACTTCCCAACATGCATCAGGCACCACTCGATCACTTTGCCCAGTGATCCCATTTAAAGCACACCAGACGAGGTAACTTAGGCATGAGAGTCAACTGCCTGAGATACAGTCAAATCAGGCAGTCTCATGTGCTGCTCATACGGACAAGTCACCGTAGCATATTGTTAAGTTAAAAAAAACAATGACGCTACAGTGAGACTAGTTATCATTTCTACTAGAAGTAGGGGAATAAGTAAACTTACGCACATTTCCCTGAATATCTACAATTTCCCAGGGAGGACTCCCCGGAAACTAGTACCACTCAGGAGCCCTGGGAAGGGAGTCTGGATGGCTGGAGAAGCAAAGTGAAGGGCATATTATTTTGAAATTGTGAACCACCTATTACCTATTCAAAATAAAGCTACATTTGAATGTTGTTGTTGTTAAGTGCCGTTGAGTCAATTCCGACCCACAGCAACCCTGTATAGGGTTTCCAAGGAGCAGCTGGTGAGCTTTAACCGCTGACCTTGCAGTTCGAATGGTTTTGCAGTCTGGTGTATTTTAACCCACAGCACCATACCAGGACTTCACTTAATACACACATCAAATCCACTTCCCCTGACGTCACATGGCTAGTAAGAGGTGGGGATGGGGTTTACAGAGCAGTTAATGCTCTGCCACAGGCCTTTCAAGCCCAGTGCCCATGTCACAGGTGCCTGGCTGTGCATCAGAAGCCAGAAGACCTGGGCTCCCCACAACCAGCCTTTCCTGGTGCACTCTTCCCCACCTGCTGCTCCAGGAGTGACTGCAGCACCAAGAATGTCTCTTCCTTCCAGGGCAGCTCCAAGATCTGTCTGCAAGGCAAAGCAAAGGCCCAGTGAGGAAAGCCCTTCCTCTCATTGGAAGCCTGGGTAACCACTGATCCTTCCCAGAGGAAGTGGTCTGAGCCGCCTCATGCTGATGGCTATCCCAACAGCCACTGCAGTAGAGCCCATCCCCAGGAGCAATACTGAAGGACTTGAGAGTCAGTTAGAAAAAGGGCCCCTTAAAGCAACCAGGGGTAGAGATTGGATCCTGAGAGCAAAAGGCCAGAGAAGAGGACACTGATGGGATGAAACTATGTAAGGTAGCCTGGAGCAGGCAAGCCTTGTTCGCAGAGCCTAGTCCTCACTGATGAGTCCACTCCATCTGTGCTTCGTGTTCCACCGCACAATTCTTCACCTTGTTTGGCAAGGCAGCACGTCACAGTGGTACACAGTAGGGCTTCTTAGGTGGACAGACTTGGGTTTGGCTCCAGAATGCATCACTTGCTGGCTCTGTGACCTTAGTCCAGCCCTTTCACCTCTCTGAGCTTCAGTTCTCCCATCTATAAATTGGCAGCAGGACTGACCTCATATAATGGGCGTAAAGCACAGGGAAATGGGCGGTGAGGGCAGCTGACAATTGAGGCTCTCTCTCCTCACATTATCCTTAGAATTTTGAATTTCATACCTGTGTCCATTGGGATATGCAAAGGGCTTACCTATTATTGCACATCTATTATCTTGATATCCTGATTTTCATGTCCAATACCAATTTCATATTAATTTTTGAACACTAGGTAGATGCCCAAAACTGTGGTAAATTCTTTATATGCACTGTCACATTTAATCTTCACAAAAATCCTACCAAGTGATGGTATCCCCATTTTTCATATGGGAAAACTGAGACTCAGAGACATGAAATAATTTGTTTCAGCTCACACAATGTTTAAAAAGGCAAGGATGAGAGAGA